TAGCACTTGGGAGGCAGAGACAGGCAGATCTCACTTCAACTTACAAGCAAATTTCAAGACGGTCAGGGCTACACAGAGAAACCCTGTCTTGGGAGGGGGGGGGTGATGTAAAATATTAGTTGAAGATGTGTTACATTTGTTTATGCTGTGGAATATTTGTTTAATGATTAAAACACGTGTTGCATTCTTTTATATTGCATTTGTTTAACGCTGTGAAACTGTACTACTTTGCCTGTCTAAAACACCTGATTGGTCTAATAAAGAGCTGAACAACCAATAGCTAGTCAGGAGAAAAGATAAGCCGGCTCGCAGGCAGAGAGAATAAATGGGAGAGGAGGGTGCCAGGTGCCAGCTACCCAGCTACACAGCAAGCCACAGAGTACGGTATATAGAATAGAAGATAAATGCCCAGAGGCAAAGGGTCAATGGGACAATTTAAGAAAAACTGGCTAGTAACAAGCCAAGCTAAGGCTGGACATTCATAAGTAAGAATAAGACTCCATAGGTGGGATTATTTGGGATTATTTGGGAGCTGGGTGCCTGGCCCCCCCCAAAGAACTAAGAGTGAAAAACAACAACCAGGCTGAAGAGAGGCTTAGCAGTTAAGAATATTCATTTCCAAGGCTCTCAGTCTCTGCAGCTTCCGCTCCAAAGAAAGCCAGCACAGTCTTCTGACCTCTACGGGCACCTCGTGCTCACATGTATAGATGCTCACTCACCCCCACATACATATAATTTAACATGAATCTCTTTTTTAGTGACAGTTTAAAAAGCGGAAAGGCAGGAGACCAAAGGTTGACCTCCACATGTGCCCATACATATTGGGTATGTACACACACACACACAAACACACACGGCCCCACATATTGTTATTAACCAGCCAATCTTTTACCATATTCTAAAGTCCTAAAGTAACAATGAGATTCCGTTGCACCCCCAGTGGCAGCCCTGAAGTGCAATCCCTTAGGATTCTAAACATTCACTGTAAGTTTCATCTTCCCCTAAAAGAGTTTGTAGAAGTCAGTCCAAGCTGACTTAAAACACAGATGTAGCGTGTGCTTTGCCCTTATGGAGGCCTCGTTCTAGAACAAATTCTTAACATTCAAACTACATCATCAGGACACAGTGGTCCAGGGTGTCCTTCCAGCACTTGGGAGGTAGGAACAGGAGGATCTGGAGTTCAAGGTCATCTTCAACTAAACAAGTTCAAGGCCAGCTTGGGTTATGTGGGACCGTGTGTCAAAAATCAGAACTAAACAAAACCACCATGTCACCACCCTGCCTTTCCTCTCCGCATCCTTTCAATATTGCTGTTTATTCAGCATGCGACTGTAGGGCGTATTCCTGTGAACCACAGAGATGGAAACCACTGTCCCTCCGACAGACAAGGGTGGTCCTTGCCCCCATCAAGGAAACCTCTTTTTGCAACAGATAGAGATCATTCTGCAAAAGCACAAGGGGTCAAAATGCAAAGTTGTGAAGCCCTGTCCCCGTGGATACATCTACCAAAACACTGCCACACCTAAGGCTCAGGGAACATTTTGGAGGAAGGGGCAAAAAGACAGTAAAAGCCAGAGCATCAGGGAGCTTGCTCTAAGATTGTGTCTCCTCGTATTGTAAGAAGCTACATCCATAAAATCTCACCAGCATGGCTGCCTAAACATGATCTGAACAAGGACAAATGTGGTAGGGGGCACCTCATGGGCGTCAACCCCAGGCAACTAAGGAAGGCTGAGAACAGAAGATCTACTCAGGGAAGAGCACACCAGCTGATCACCTGATAACCTAACACCAAATGGTCAGACCTGAAAACATACATAGACTAACATTATATGGATAAGCAGGTTGAATTATTAATAAATACACGCAAACACACACATATATATGATATATATGTCATATATACATATGAAAAAGAGGCCATCAATTTGAGAAAGCATGCTAGCAGGGTGCATGGGAGATGTTGGAAGAGGGGGAAAATAATGTGATTTTATTATAATCCCCCAAATTAAAATATATATTTGAAAATAAATAAATGGAAGAGAAAAAACTCCTGCCCTCATGAAGCTGGTCTTTTGTGGATGAGATGGAATATCAATAAAAACAAACAAGCCTTCTCTAAAGTATTTTCAATGGTAACTTCTGGCAAGAGTAAAATAAACCAGGAAATGGGAAGGGGATGTGGCAGGGTGTCACACTGAAGTGTGAGGTCAGGACAGTGCTTGCTGAGGAATGATGTCGGGAGTTGAGACTGGAAAGACAAAATGACTAGATCCTCCTGCGAACACAGCAGGAGGGGAGGGAGCAGATCAAAGGCCCTGAGGCAGACTGTGTCTCTGTGGAACGGACACTTGCCGCTGGTCTCATCCTCACAGTCCTGGGGGGGGGCATCTGGCACAAGTTAGAGACCAACAAAGATGGGGTGAATCGGAGCTCGAATAATGACGGCCCATGGCACCGGCTCCTTTGCCTGCTATCTCTCCCTGGTAACGACAGTGCCAGGACCTATCTTAAGTCCCATAGCATTCAGGCTCTGTCCCAGGCTCTCAGGAGGGTGAGGCAGGCATAATGGTTGAGCACAGAAGTTCCCAGCCAACACGGGCAACACAGTGAGACCTGACTATTAATAAATAAGTAGGGCTGGAAAGATGGCTCAGTGGTTAAGAGCACTGGTTGCTATTCTAGAGGACCTAGGGTTTGGCCCCCAGCACCCTTATGGCACCTCCCAACCAACTGTAACTCCAATTCCAGGAATCAAATGCCATCTTTTGGCCTCCCTAGACACTGCATGCATATGGCACACAGCCATCAAAATCAGACAAAAGACCCATACCGATAAAATAAAATTTAAACTTTTTTTTTTTTTTTTTTTTTTGGATACAGTGTTTTTCTGTGTAGCCCTGGCTGTTCTAGAACTTGCTTTGCAGACCAGGCTGGTCTCAAACTCACAGAGATCCACCTGCCTCTATCTCTCAGGTGCTGGAATAAAAACACTTTTGAAAATGAATAAAAGCAAATGACAAGGCCAGGAAGATGGTTCGGTGGATAAAGTACTTACTGTGCTAACTCTAGAATGTAAGCTCAGGGTACCAGGTTCCTGAGTGGCCCACACACACTCTCTCTCTGTCTTGCTAAGGGTCTTTTTCTCTGTGTGCCTTGCTGTGTATTTCCTCAGTCCCTGATAAAAAAGCCTTTCTTTATAAGGAGGTGGGGATGGGGTAAACTGAGCTCAGATTATCTGAACCCACATAAAAGCCAGACAGGCTAAGCAGGAAACTGGGCAAAATGGCTAGATAGACTAAGTCAATCAAAGAATTTAGGTTCATTGAGAGAATCGCCTCAGTAAATAAACTGAAGAGTAATTGAGACACACTCATCAATCTTGGTCCACTACATGTCCCCAACACATGTCCCCA